AAAAAAAAAGGACAAAATGAAGAATACAGAAAGGGAAGGGAAGGGACGAAAAAAGTGATGGGTATTACCAAAAACTGTTTTAATTCTGCTTCTCTTTTATTTTGGTCTCAAACAGCGGAATAAATCAGACAAGTCCAAGTCTCGCTCACGTTTCTATGTGTCAGTTCGTGACTCATTCAAATACAAGAAAGATAGCACAGCACAAGCCACGCCATCCGGGCTTACTAGGACAGACTCGAAGGTATTGATTATGATCGTCAAGGCAGGCAGGCAGGCAGGCAGGCATAAAACCATAGGCACTGTCTCCCAACCCTTCCTAACCTACAGTAAATGTGGGACATAAAAGAACCACTGAGGACGTAAAAAGAAACCCTGGCAGTGACCACCCTCAGTGCCTACACTTCATACTAACCATCTCTCATGTTTGTAAATTGCTTAAAAAAGCAATCTGTCATTCACAACTCCATGTTAAGCGCCTTTGATTATATCCACATAGGAAAGGGCGCTATATAAATCATCATCATCATCATCAGAACTGACGTTWTATACGACTGAAAAAGTAAAGCTGAAGGGATCTTATTCATATTATTTCCAGAAAATCAAAAGATCCTTCAGAAGCAAGGACTCCAAACTAATCAGGAGAAAGAAAGGTTTCACAGAAAATCCTGATTTCCAGCCATTCCATCAGTCAACCAGTACTTCTCCTGCTGCCTTAGTACGTAGGAATGGAAATAAGACTGACTTCCTAGGCCCCGAAGATCTAGATCTCGATGATCCCAGTGAGGCGCACAGTCAATTTTTTCGCGCCAAAAATACTGACTCGCAAGCGAAGTCGCGTGGTACCACACTTCTTAATAGTTCCARCACTATAAAATCATCTCATAAGAAAATACACAAATGTAACAGTGATCCATACATTCGGGATATAAATAGTACAGAGYCACGCAAGATGAGTCAAGAGCGTGACTGTCACGGAGAAGCAGTACTTGATATTTTAAAGCAGGAATACTTTGAGAGAGAAAGAAGTCAAAGTGATGTTCAGACAAGAAACAAAAAGCAGAGTCGCGTTCAAAGAATGAGGAAACCAATTAAAAAGCGTGACAAATGTTTTGACAAGAGCCAACCACAAGATTCTTCAAGTGACAATCTAAGCAAGAAGCGTGACGAGTCCTTACCCAAAAGCCAATTAGCTGCCTTGGGAGATTCCTCACGCGACAAGCCTAGTGAGAAGCGTGACAAGGTCACCCCCAAGAACCAATCAGATGTCTTTGGGGTTTGTTCCAGTGAAAAGCCTAGAGAGAAGTGTGACAAATCCTCGGACGTGAGCCAATCACATTCCTTAGAAGATTCTCCAAGTGTCAAGCCGAACAAGAAACGCGACCAACAGAATAGCCAATCACAGTCCAGCATGAGTGTGATTAGTTCAAGAATCGTATCGGACAAAAATAAYAATCAAGAAGATACGACAAGCTGCGAGAATGTTAAATGGCTGAGAGGCAAGTTTGAATAAAATTAAAGRATAAATCCCTATTAATGAATTTCATGACGAATGCTAATAGAGTTTAGGGGTTAGAAAAGAACACGACACTGAGACGAAAGGAAAAGGCAATGCAAAGAAAAGAAATGACCAACTTCCATATGCTTCGCAATTCAGACCACGTGTCTTTCCCTTGAATAAGATTCTTGGTTTGAGTTGTATCCATATTCATATGTCTTCTCATGCGCAACCGTTAAGCAAAGAAAYGATACTCTAGGGAATAACGCATGGTCTTGAGAATAAGATTCTCTGTTTGAATTGTATCTACCTATTCATGTGTCTTTTCGTTGGAAACCGTTAAACAAAGAAATGCTACTCTAGGGAATGACACATGGTCTGAAATCGTCGGATATTGCTATGCACCCTCCGCGTACAACCAGGCCCTAAATGCTAACTGTGCTTTACTTCTAATCTTCAGACGTTGACACCGAAGACATTATCTTCGTTTAACAAAAGAAGAGAACCCTGAATCGTGATTGCATTCAAGGTGTAAATATGTCACCATCACATGTAAGCAAGCTCTAATATAATATTTTATTATGCTAAGTTAAATCTTCTGTTTTAACAGTGTGTTTTATAATATTTAATTTGTAGAATTAGAAGTTAAGTTAAACTATTGACGAATGTTAAAGTGCTACTCTGACGGAAATCGCTCAAACTTGGATTCAGCTGAAACTTCCTAAGAATACTCTTTAAAGGTCCAATAATCACTGTACGAAGTGTTTTCTCGATATTCAGGACGAAAGTATAATATTTTTACGTTTATTTTTTGGAGTCTGTGACGTCATACACTCAACATCGAACATCGCTCAATACATTTCTTTGTAGTTTATGATCAAAATATCAGTAGTAAAGGCAGAAAGAAATACCAAAACACCCCAAAATATAAATTATAGTCACAAGTATTGTGAAATAAGCACATTAGCCACCCTTTGGGCTTCATAGGAATAAAATAAATTAAGGATTTATATACAAAGAAATATATGTAGCAATGTTTGATGTTGAGTGTATGACGTCACAGACTCCAATTAATAATCGTAAAAATATCATACTTTCGTCCTGAATATCGAGAAAACACTTCATACAGTGATTATTGGACCTTTAAAGAGGAYTGGACCTTTTAGGAAGTTTCAGCTGAATCCAAGTTTGAGCGATTTTYGTTAGAGTAGCACTCTAAACTAAGTAGGATATAATGTATTTATTATTTAAGCATATTAGTATTGTAGATATTGATGGCTCTTTACACTACTGTAGAGTAATCCTACTGACACTAAGTGTTAAGTCATTTTGTTTTCCTTCTAAAAACGGAGGAGTCCGTCGTAAGGCACCCCACCTTATGTGAACGCCTTTTTAGAAAAATAATTTAGTAGGGTTTTGGGAATAGGGAATAACAAAATTGCTGAATTCCTAGAAGAATATCATCGTGATTTAAATTTCCAAGAGAAATTGAATTATTAGTACATTTTTATAGTTTTTAACAATGACATCCTAGATGGCACGCAAATGGTTTATATTTTAAAAATGCAAAATTAATTGTTACGGATAAAAATTGCCAAAGACGGCAGGTCGAAGTCCTTTACCAGCAAAAAATACATTCCGCATGGTTGAGGTAAAGACTGGGACGAGTTACCTTCCCAGTGCATTGTGGGACTGTCTTGGGGGACAAAATAGAATCCATCTTGGAAATCTATTTTCTAAAACAATCCCACTATGCACTGCAATGGTAAATCGGCCCAGTATTTCTTCCTCGTCTTCGCAGAATGGCTATTAATAGCGTTGAATAATCTACGGTTRAACTTATTATTCAAAAAGAATCCCTTTTTTTATTTTCATATTTTTCATTACTTTTGGATTTCTTTATTTCTTAACAGTTTTAATATTATTATTGATTGATTGTAAAAGCATTTATAACCTGACCAAAATACACATGCGCATGCGCATATTGTCCAAGAAAACAAACATGGCCGCTTGAAAACTTTGCATCTAACGTAACACAAAAATTGGTCGAAGGTTTTAGGGAAAAGCACTTTAGTACAAACATCGAAAATGTTCTATAGATGATAAAACAAAACTTGAGCATTATTTTAATAGATCAGTTATAGAGTACAAATTTTATCAACCTTTAAGGATATGAGTTTGGGGATTTTCGAAACCATAGGTACTTTTTATAGTTAAATCCGCCTTTGGGGTTCCTGTGTTGCGACGTGGAACGCACAGGAAACCCRAGCCAAAAAAGGCTGGGTTCCTTTGGCTTATTTTTATAAATTGATTGTTTTTTTAAAATAGTTAAACTACAAGTCTTGATAGGCTCTTCTCAACATTGATGTTAAGTTCGTTTTACAAAGGGCTGGTACCTTGGTATCCCTTCTAGTAAGGGWATGAACAAATGAGCCGATTATATATTGATTGGAACCTTTGATCAGGGGAATCGATAACACTTCGGTTATGTTTAACATTAGAATGTAGAAAAGATGATTGTTATTGACTTGTATTAAAGCTGATAATTGGTTTTGAAATTTDGGACTCTTTTATCACACACTACCACTATTCTTTGTTTGCGCTCTTTTCGTCATAGCCGCGTGTTTGGTTGAATAGGTTTCCAATAGACGACTTGCACCAACAGGCCACGGGACCCTACCTCCCTTAAAACGAGCAGTTTTTTCAAATTAAAAACAGAAATGAAAAGAGCATCTCGGCATTAGAAGGGAGGCGGAGTTTCAGCTCATAATAAGCGAAACAAGTGAAATAAAATTAGATATAAAATTGAATTTCAGCCAACACTTTTCCCGTACAAATCCTTGTGAAAWGTTTGATTTTATTTTTAATGCCATTTCTTCTATTGTCAACATTTCGAGCTGAAACTTCTCCCTCTCTCTAAATTTAAGGTGCTCTTCTCATTTCTGGAGTTCATTTTGACTCGTTTTAAGGGGGAAGGGATCACGTTAAATGGCGATCCCGTCTCCAAGTTGGGGACGTAAGAGAACCACTGAGGACGCAACAAACCCTGGCAGTGACCACCCTCAGTGCCAGCCATGAGGTCGGCCTGGAGAAGTGTTCCAAAAAGGTTGCTAGTAAAAAAGACCTTCTCACATTACCCACATTAATAACCACAGAAACACTCATCATAACCACAGCTAGTATACCAATGGAATGCTGGCGGGTGCTGGATGGAAAACAAAACAACAAACACAGGGGTTCAAGCCAGGGACCTGCCGGGTAAGAAGGTGAACATTGTGCTTCTCCTTCAGTATGCCCTAGTAGCGTTGCGTGACGACACTAATAGCGGCTACGTAGAAGGCGTATCATACCCATGTAACACGTAATATGGGAGTAGTAGCGTTGCGTGACGACACTAATAGCGGCTGCGTAGAAGGCTTTGCATACCCATGCCGCACGTGATATGGGAGTAGTAGCGTATTGCGTGACGACACTAATAGCGGCTGCGTAGAAGGCTTTGCATACCCATGTCGCACTGCATAATGTGAGTAAAACTGTGAGACAAAAATACACTTTTACTTTTCGTATTGAACTTTTTCAATATTATCTTAGATGCGAGGCTAAGAGGAAAATACAAAAGAAATCAGACTTTTTCTAGATGGAATCTGTGGCATTTCTTTTAAATTTCCAAATTTCCTCGCATTCAAGAATTTTACGAAGGGCTCAATAAAGTATGCACCTTTTGGTAGTTGGAGCCGCGTTCTTGAAGAGGAAACTAATGAGAAACAATCTGCAGTCATTCCAGCTATTCTTGGATCTTGGAATGAACTGCGATCTCTGCAAAAATGTACCATTTTCCCCCTAGCAATGCTGGTCTATGCGAGAAAACATTGCTACATGGGGGATCATAATACTAGGTGTTACATTTTATTTTATATGACATTGTAACATTGTAGCCCCTATCGCCTATTTCCTATCGCCTTTGGCTTCAAGAACCTATTTGAAAAAGGACATATGATTGTTTATAGGTGCAAACTCCATACCAGCCTCTTCATTGTGCCTCTTTTGCAGCCTTTATTCTCTCCACCCTCCGCCCCCCCCTCCCCCACCCCCTCCTTTCACCTCCGGCAACCACAACACGCACAACACATACCTGACCCTGAGTAGGTTGAGGCTATTTAACATCCTCTACGGAGGGGAATTTATTGACAATTAACTCAGTCAAACGAAACTGACTTTTGAAGTATAAAATGTTTATAACAACATATTTTGCATAAAATTTCAAACGAAATTATACATTTCACAAACCTGGTTATAACCAGTGTTTCGTTTAATAATACAGAATCGTGCTCAATAACTTAAGTTCGGATATTTTATTATTGTCTTACTTACAATTCTACAATTCTAAATTCAGTAAAGGTGAACCATTTTAATTTTCTGATATTCATTCCCTGTTTTCCTAGTCCAGTTTATAATTTTTTCCCGTCCTTCCCTCAAATAGTTTCCATAGATTCCATATATATTACAGTGCAGACACATTAACCGGGACCACTTAAAACAAAAATTAAGACATGAAAACGTTAGCCAATCACGAGATAGCAAAATCTGTATCATATTGATCTCAGCCAATCACAATCATTTTTCCCACGGTTGCTGATTACATAAAAGTTTTTTTCTCAGATATCTAGRCTTCCTTTCTTGCTTCTGATTGGTTCAAATTTGAATCAAGTTTGATCCCTTAGTTTTTACTATATTTTGTATTTGGCTAACTTTCTTCAAATGGTCCCGGTTAGTGTGTTCGCACAGCTAACTCTCTGAATAAATTAACATTCATCCTTGCCAAGCCCAGCTCGTAGAGACACAAGCAGGCCAAGATAGGACACCAGTCCCGAACTGACGACTCTTAAAACTCCAGGCTTTGCTTGTTTTGTTATTCTAATTTCTGCTTTTGTTTTCCAATCTCGGAAGTGAGGCTATGCTCGCATAACTG